AAAAGGTTTAAGACTTACTTGTCCAGAGCCTTGGCAGCCTCACGGATACCGCGGGCCAGGCCATCGTGGATGAGTGCGGTCTTGAGCACTTCAGGGAGAGCGGTGTTGACATCCATCACACCTCCGGCAGGACTGCTGTTGGAAGTAAGATAAAAACAATCTTAAATTTTTGAGGAAGATGAGCACAAGAAATTGGGGCCTCTTCAGCTGAGCTTTTGGCATGTCAGAGCGGCGAGAGTCTCACTCATTGTAGAGTGAAGGGGTATCCGACAAAAGATGGGATCATCAGTCATGCACAAAAGCTCAGCTGGCAGAAAAACACAATAATGAAATTTCAGAATAATATCCAGACTAAAAACTTAAATCTATAACAGGTTTATCAAGCCTTCCTGCATCTAAACTGGACTACGACGGTTTGGAACTCCTCTCTTACCAAGTTACAATTAGTTGTAAATGTTGCAGCCAGACTGCTGACTGGCTCCATGTGCATTACAGAATTCTGTATAACGAGGCATATGTGCTTAAAGCCTTAAACAACATGATATATTCCATCAAGGTGTACATGTTTGGCTTCTCAATCATTTAAATCTAAGCTGAAGAAAGGCCAACTGAGTCAGTGTTCTACACAACACTGTCACTAGGTTTCAAATAAGTTACTGCTAGCAGTAACGAGCAATATAACAAAGATCAAGGTGATTACACTAGTGATCATTAAAGGGAAGAGGAATTGTAAACGTCAGTGAAGCTGCCGCATCAGTATCTCAGGTTAATTTTAAACTAGATTTACTATTGTGTGATTGTATAAACCTGTTAAACATTAGCCCCCTGGACCGGACTATGGACATGCCTTATTTATGAGCTTTCTATTATGTGCCTTTCTCTCATTTTTGTACACATTTCTCTTGATTTGCACAGATTTCTTGTGACTGTATACATTTCTCCTGTTTGCAATTTATCTGGCTGGTGACCCTTTACATTTTATTCCTGCACAATTGCGTTGTACATGTACAATGACAATAAAGGCCTATTCAATTCAATTTTATAGTAAATTGCTACATGCGTGCTGGCAGTATAACTGAACCTCTATCCCTGCTAAGCTAGCCACTTGTCTCATGTGAAATATTCTCTTTTACGCTATAAAGCACACTGTTACCAAAAAGCTTATGTTTACAAGGTCACTATCCTCTCCCAAACAAATTTCAGCTGTAGTTTAACTACGGCTCGTTTAAGTAACTTTTATTATCAAGTCATCATAGACACAAACGTCTTGCTCACCCTTCCTCGGCCATTGTAGATTTGCGATGGATGGTGAACTAAAAGTTCTGCAATGAAGAAGAAATGTGATATAAAAGTTATTATCCATTGTAAAGCGCCAACTCTTATGAATGTACAAGTTAGGATGTTTGATTAATCCAGACGATTGTGTCAGGAGTTGAGGGAACGCACCTTTCCTGCAGATAAGCAGCGAGTAAAGAGGACGTCATAAGCCCGCGACGCGAATTTAAAACCAGCAGGCCCCATCTGCGCCTCACTGTGGCGCCAGATAAGTTGCCTGTTGTAGCTTTAGTTAACAGCTGAAACTACAAGTTGCCTCCTAGATATTATTCAGGTCTGTCAATACAGGCGAAAAACACGTTTTATGACCCACAGACACAATTCAGACAAACACATCTCAAGGACAGATACACATTTATTCATGTCATTAGATAAACTCGTCATATGGGGTACTTCTCTTCTTAATGTCATTCAACATTTCCCATTGGACATTTTCACAGTGTAAACACTGATCCTCCTCAGAAACGGTGGATTTTGATCTTACTGGAATTTTCTTCCTTTAAATGTTTAGAGGAAAACAAGCAAACCAAAGAAGTTTAAACTTTAAGAAAACATTTAAAAAAAAAAGAAGATAAAACGTAAATAATAATCCATATATGCAAAAGATGCATAATTTTCCTCAGAAATGTTTTTTTTTTAAATTTTAGGAAATACCTTTTTTCAATAGAAAACATAATAACATAAAATATGATCTCCCCTACCAACTAAAAAAAAAAAATACATTTAACCAGCTCTCACATGAATATGGAAACAACAATATGAGATGAGTAGAAAACAAAACAGCATAAAATACAATAAATATGCATCTTCTTTGATGTGCAGATAATCAGAGCAAATTCATAGGAAGAGTGATGCTGTGTTTTTAAAGGAGCCACATTAAACAGTGACCATGCTACTTCCTGGCTTTTTAGTGAAGTGGCTCAAAAATTGCCCTCTAGTGGGTGCGGGGGCCCTATGCATCTCTAAAGTCTACTTACAGTTACAGTCTAATTGCTCTGCCGAGAACTTTATAATGCATGTTTTAAGACTGCATCACATTTTATTGTACTTGAGCTTCATTGGAGCTCTGTTGCTTTAACATTAGACACCCTAATTTTATCATTTCAGCCTTAAAGTCAAAAAGAATTGATGGATGTCTTTTGAATCTTTTTCTCTCAAATTCACACCAATTTTCATTTTGCTTAAATTATTACTTTAGAAATTTGTTAGTGAGTTTCCATTCTTCATTTTACTACAATAAATCAAAATACTTTTTACACCTGTTCTGTACAGGATGTAGTCATTGCGGATTCATTGCGGTGGTGGTCAGAGGGCCCCGTGGCGCCTGTGTCCGGCAGCCTCGCCTCTGTCAGTGCGCCCCAGGGCAGCTGTGGCTACAATGTAGCTTGCCATCGCCAGTGTGTGAATGTGTGTGTGAATGGGTGAATGACTGAATGTAGTGTAAAGCGCTTTGGGGTCCTTAAGGACTAGAAAAGCGCTATACAAATGCAGGCCATTTACCATTTACCATTCAGACAGGGGGGAAAAGTAAACAAGATAGCAAAATTGTCAGGATCCTGGGTCATTTTACCTAGCGTTCTTAGTTTTCCCGTGTTCCTGTGTCATTTTAAGTTCATTTGTTATTCTATGGGTCCTAAGTTGTTCAGGTTAATTTACTAGATTTCCCCTTGTGTCTTTATCCCCCCTTGTCTCCCTCTGTGTGACCGTGTATATAGTGGTGTGAGTTATTGTGCTTTGTTCATACTCCTCGTGTTCTGTGTTTACCTCTTTCCGTCATGTTCTCTCCGTGTACTCTCTGTGTTATGTTTGAGGTCCGCGTCTTGGTGTCAGCATTTTCAGTTTCATGTCCTCCCCACGCTGTCATGTGTAATTGTCCTCAGCTGTATTCCCCGTGTGCTTCCACTTCCCTCATTACCTTCTGTGTATTTATGTCAGAGTCTCGCTTTGTTCCATGTCGCGTTGTCCCTCATGCTGTGTGTTCCCTTGTGTGCCTCACTGTGAAGTTTAGTTTGTATTTTCCCAGTATAGTTTAATTTTGTATCTTTTCCTCGAGTCTGCAATAAAGCAGTGCTTTTGAGTTTATTCCCCGTGAGTTTGTGTTTGGGTCTTTCTCCTGCCTGCACACAGCCGAAACATGACAAAAATAACATCATTGTTTATCCTCACACTATATCTTGCAGAGACGAACACAGTAACTTAAACAAGTACATCTTAAGGACAGACTCACATTTAAGTGCTTAGACACAATTTTAATTATATTAATGCAATATTTAAATAAAGGTTGGTCAAAATAATTTAGTCATTCATGAGAAGTGATGCATTAAAGTAAACGCTTTTAATGATGCCACTAAGTTTAGATATGTACTGCTTTAAAGCAAGAACATAAGGTCACAACAGCTGCGCATGAATGGATAACCGTGTTCCTAGCAATGCAATCACACTATTTCTATGCCTATCTACTTGTTAGACTACTATCCTGCTTGTGACATAATCACCCTGTTTATCAGGTCACGCGTGTTGCCTTCTTGTTCAAATAAAGATGTGATCTAATTTCCCATCAGAGAATTTCAAATCCTGCAATGATTTACCCAGATGTCAATATGTGCTTAACTTCTTGTCCATTACAAACCTAAGTATTCTCTAATTCTAGTTTCTAGTTCTGTTACTGGTATTCAGTAATGTTAGAAAAAAGGCAATATTTAATACAACGGGCCAGGAAGTGTTTTCATAATGTTCAGACCCTCTGGCCTCCGAGTAATAAGACTCTTTAACACGCAACTGAAATATACCTACCAGCCACTTCATAAAGTACAATTGTTCAATTGTTCATTCACTCAAATATCTAATCAACCAATCACATGGCAGCAATTCAATGCATTTAGTAGGGTAGACATGGCTAAGACAACCTCATTAAGTTCAAACTGAGCATCAGAATGGGGATGACAGGTGATTTAAGTGGCATTGAATGTGTTAAGCGTTAGGGCCAGATGCTTTTGAGTGTAGTTCCACATCGGTAGAAGATCAGTTGAACACCACAGCCTGCCTGAGTAATGCAGTTGACAGTGTCCATCCCACAGTGTGCAGATGTGTACTGATGGCTGCTTCTAGCAGGACAAAGCACCATTCCATTCCTCAAAGCACAAATCATCACAAACTGGTTTCTTGAACATGACACTCAGTTCACTGTCCTTAAATGTCCTCAACAGTCACCAGATCTCAATCCAGTAGTGCACTTTTAGGATGTGGTGCAATGGGAGATTCACATCGTGGCTGTGCAGCCAACAAATCTGCAGCAACTGTGTGATGCTGCCATGTCAACATGAACAAAATCTCAGATGAATACGTGCCACACAGAATTAAGGCAGTTCAGAAGGCAAAATGGGGTCTAACCATGTACTAGCAAGGTGTACCTAAGATGATACCTTGCTGATTAGTAAATTGGATAAATTAATAACTTTGTTTTTATTTCCTATTAATTCAATCCCATAAGCCTATTGAACATGCTCAGTTTTGAAGTGTAGTATCACTGTGTGTTAAAATAATATACAATATAGAAACATAAGGAAATACAGCATAGTTTCATATGCAGACATATGCTCACTGCAAGAAGAATAAATGGTCTGATTTGCCAAATGTCATAATAAGTTATTTTAAATTTTACTGTTACACAAATACATAAAATGTAAACCATCTAAAACCCCAAAAAGAGTAGCTTTCTTTTAAAGGCTTTTCTTTCTTCCTGATATGTAACAAGAGGAAAAGCAGAAGTGGTCATATTATTCATACAGGCTCTCTGCTAGACTTTTCTCAAAAACATCCTGTTTTGAGAAAAACAGCATGAATTCTGAAAAAAACTCATGGCCCAATTTGGGTTTTTTTTCTACTAAAATGACATCAATCTTCTTCCATTAATAAGTTAAGTTAAATGTTTTCTTTTTCTTTTAAATATTTCCACAGGCTTTGGATATTGATATTTGTGGGTAAAAAAGATAAAACCCTCTCATCGTCTCATCTTTAATGATTGATCAAAAAGTCAACATGTGTCCAGGTTGGAGTCCAATACAGGTGGACCTTTTAATTTAAAATAGTTACTGGATCTGTTCTTGGGGAACATGAGAACATTTTTATTAAAGATTCTGAGGTCCTTCTGTTAGCGCAGCAGTCTTGGAGGATTTAAAAAGGTAAGAGGCTTATATAAGCACCTTTTGGTGAAAACAAAATGACTAAGGTATTATGGTATTATTTTACAGTCTCTGGCCAACACTGAAGACACAATATGATCCTCATTTTTGATGGAAAACGACATTTTATTTTTCACTTGTCTCTTGGTGAGTTACTGGAGGTTTTTGTCTCAGTTTGACTTCATGTGGACGTGTGTTTTCTTGAGTGGAGACTGAGTGAGAAGTGTGAGTTTCAGTATTTACGTCACAATATTATTTGATGACTGAAAGTGTTAAACATTGTTTACCGGATAAATTTAAAATTATCCGGGACCCTCTTATGTTCCCGATTTGTAAAATATTTGACAAATTATTGACTGCAGTGAAGGCTTTTAACTAAAGAATGCTGTTTTATATCTAAACCTCTGGGCTGTCAGGCTTAATCAGATCACTTTTGCGATATGTATTTTTGCTGCAGGCCTGTTGAGTTTCCTGCAGTTTACAGGTCAGTAAGTAACCTATGAGTATTCGGATACTTTGATTTCTACATTAAAAAGATAAAAATTGTGAAATGTGGTTGAGGACAAGGTGACACATTCTGCATCCTTTGTGGTTTTGTTTTTTTTTTCATATCCAGAATGTGAGAATATTAGGCTGGTCGGACCTTCGCATTGCTCTGGTAGAGTGGAGGTCTTCCACAAAGGCAGTTGGGGAACTGTCTGTCACGATCAGTGGAGCATTGCTAACGCTGAGGTGGTGTGTCGAGAGTTAAGCTGCGGGACAGCTATCGAGGCTAAAAAAGACGCCTTCTTTGGACAGGGAAAGGATGAGATCTGGTTGGATGACGTACAGTGTACTGGGCATGAGTCTTCCATCCTTCAGTGTCAGCACAAACCGTTTGGGGTAAATAACTGTGGCCACAATGAAGATGCAGGAGTGGTCTGTTCAGGTAAGCCCCAATGATGTTTGACATATTTTTGTTTTCCCTCACAAACCTTCATAGAAAACCTTTTCTTCGAGAAAATGTGCTAAGACATTTATTTATTTGCTGCCACATGTTAACAGCTTTCTCAGTCCAATATAATATCACTTTAACAAATGCAACATGTTTAGGTTAGGTAGGTGGATTTTGTCACATTCTACCATTTTCCAGTCTTTCTGCCAAGCTAAGCTAGCACTGCATTAACAGTTAAAGTTATCAGAAGTCAGGCAGAATTCATTCACATCAGCAAGATGTCAAAACTGCCCCTTTTCGTAAAATGTGGAACTGTTGTTGAAATTGAGAAATCCTGTACAACCTAAGAGAAAACCAGCTAACACAGCAATTATGTTAGCTCACCATGTTATGTGGTTTAGGTTTCTCGTTGCTGCAACATTTCCACAATTGTTAGGCTTTGAGAACAGCCATCATGGAGTCACATTTGTTCTTCTTGAGTTAGAGAAAGAAGCAAATGTGCTATACTTATAGCATTTAAAGATAACGTACATGTCTTATGATTTAATTTCGTTTTTGCTCCTTCTGTTGTGGAAAGAAAACTGATGTCACATACTTTTATGCATGAGTCGGTATATTTAAAAAGTGTATTTAAACTGTGCTAAGATATATTAATTAGTATGTTTATCTTGCCCAGACACTAAAAAACATTTTGATCAAACATACGCACACAGTCCTGTTGAAAACAATTTGCAGTGTATAACTCTTGATACATTAAAAGTTTAGCTTTGATTACAAACAATTATTTTGTGCATTATCAAGAATTTAATATCAATTAAAAACAGGTAAATTAACAGTTTGGCTTCTTGGGAAGTAAACTTGAGCTTTTGTGATAGTGGAAGACCGATTTTTTTTCGCTGGCAAGAGCATTCTCCTAGTCTTGAGGGTATCAGCAGATACTTATGAGAGCAGTATTAATTTCTCCAATTGACCTTTAACATTCTTTTGCTTTCCCAAAACGTTGATTTTGTTCATCTGCACGTAGCGTTTTTAGTGGGAGAAACGTTTTGTCACTCATCCAAGCGACCTCTTCAGTCTCAGCTCGCTGCAGGCCAGTGGACACTCTTTCAATGATGAGGATGTACACATCGTGGAGGAACGCTGATTGGAGCGAGGAGTCAAGGAGTCCATTTACGTGAAAAGGGAAAGACCATCTCTGAATCGAGGTGGGGGCCTAAGGGTACATCTTTCACCGTCTTAAAACACTGTGATTGCAGCCATTCCCCAACTCTCTGTGAATGGGACTCATGGCCATTGATCAGTGGTCTTTGACCAGTTGTTGTTGATCAATGATCATGACAATTTGCATATTAATGAGCAAAGAACTGACCTCACAGCCCATTGTTCATTCAGTAGGCTGGTTTCAGTTATTGTTCAAATGTACTGTTTATAAGGTTGGGGAGACCTGCAGTCAGCTGAGACTGAAGAAGTCACTTCAATTAGTGACGAAACGTTTCTCCTACTGAAAACGTTACGTCCAGATGAACAGAATAAACCTTTTGGGATTTACTTACCCGGATGATTAAGCATGCATCAAGACATTCTTTTGTTCTCTTTTAGTAATATGCTTTAGATGCCAGTTTCTTCCAATTTGGTTCTGACAAAGTTAAAATCTTCACTAGAATTAGTAGTAGGGATGGGTACCAGACCGAAAAGCAGCGCACATTTCGGTGCTTTATTTCGGTGCTTTTTTTTCCCTGAGCTGTGGCACACTTTCTTCTTCCTTACATTTGTATTGGCGGTTGGCAAACAACTGAAGGTGCATTACTGCCACCAACTGGTATGGAATGATACACTTTAGATTCTAGCCAATCATTTTACGTTTCCGAGGATAGTAGGCGGGTCCAGGTACGTACGTTATTTTAGAGCAGAGCTACAGATTAAAAATGCC